GGTGAGGCCCGACCGACCGAGAGACCCTACGACCTCGAGGCCGAGCGAGCGGGAAAAAGAGCCGAAGCGTTTTTTTTCGTAAGCGATTCAACGGCCGGCCGAGCAAGCGAGCAAGGAGCGAGCGAGCGAGGAAGGGTTGGGAGTCCAGCAAGCGGGAAAGACAACAAGCGGGAGTCCAGCAAGCGGGAAAGACAACAGCCGGCCGAGCAAGCGGCAAAGACAGCAAGCGAGCAAGGAGCAAGCGAGCGAGGAAGCGAGCGATCGAGATCGAGAGTAAGTGCGCGAGTGAGAGTGAGCGAGCGGGAAAGAGAGCAAGCGAGCAAGGAGCGAGCTACGAGGGAGCGAGGAAGCGAGCGACGAGGGAGCGACTAAGACCATAGCGTGCGAGTGAGGAGCAAACAAACGAGCAAGGAGAGAGCGAGCGAGCGATAGCGAGCGAGGAGGAAGCGAGCGAGGAAGGAGCGAGCGAGCACGAGGAGGGACCAAGCGAGGAAACGAGCGAGGAGGGAGAGAGCGAGCTGGCGAGCGAGGAGGGAGAGCGAGCTAGCTGTCTCGAGCGAGGAGAAAGCGAGCGAACGGTCGAGCGAGCGAGGAGGGAGAGTAAGCGAGTGAGCGAGCGAGCGAGAAGGAGAAAGAGTGACCAAGGGAGATAGTCAGAGAGAGGGCGAGCGAGATAGAGCGAGCAAGCGAGGAGGGGGCCAGCAAGCGAGCGAGGAGCGAGCCAACAAGGGATCGAGCGAGGACCGAGCCAACGAGGGTGTGTAGCCTTCCCCTGACCTTCCTACCACCTTCCCTACCAAGTCACACCTTTTTCTTTGTCGTCTTCCCTATTTTTCCTCTCATCTCCCTTTCTTCCCGTTTGGCTTTTTGTTTTTCAACGTTATGGTCTTCCCGTTTCGCCTTCTCCCCGCCTTCCCTTTCGCCTTCTCCCCGCCTTCCCTTCGACCTTCTCCCAGCCTTCTCCCCGCCTTCCCTTCGGCCTTCTCCCCGCCTTCTCCCCGCCTTCTACCCGCCTTTTCCCCGCCTTCTCCCCTCCTTCCCTTGTTCCCCCGCCTTTTCCCCGCGTTCCCCTCCTTTGTCGCCTCCCGCCCTGCCTTTTCCCCGCGTTCTCATCTTTTGCCCCTCCTCCCCGCCTTCCCTTTCTTGTTCCCCCGCCTTCCCTTCTTGTTCCCCCGCCTTTTCCCCGGGTTCTCATCTTCTGCCCCTCCTCCCCGCCTTCCCTTTCTTGTTCCCTCGCCTTCCCTTCTTGTTCCCCCG